GGTAATCTCGAAAGACAATCAGCATTTTCATGATCATTGGTATTTTTGTAACGAATATCATAATTAAAAGCTGATAAAAAAATATCGTAATGTTGCATTCGTGTAGCTGATAATACTGGCAATGATTTATTTGGACTAAAAATTTGTAATAAGGGTCTATGATCCGTGTAAAGTAAAAATCTATTTCCGTATAGATATTGGTAAAATTTTCTTACACCGAAAATAATACTGTAGGCTTCCTTATCTATTTGTGCATATTTTTTCTGCGTATCCGACAGTGTTTGGGATGCAAATTGTATTGGACGCTCCGAACCATCCGGGTATATGTGTGATAGCACAGCACCTACACCGTAAGGTGAAGCGTCAGTGGCTAGAACTATTGGTAATTGTAAATCAAAATGAACTAAGAACTGATTTGATTCCATTTCTTTTTTTACTTTTAAAAATGAATTTTCACAATCTTTATCCCACACATACTTGGTATTATTTTTTAACAAATTATTTAATGGTGCTAAAATTGAACTTAAGTTTTTAAAAAAACGCCCGTAATAGTTAATCATTCCCAAGAAAGATTTTAATTGAGTTTTATTTATAGGCCGCGGTACATTTTTTATGGCTTCTACTTTTGCCGGCATTTTATGAATTCCTTCTCTATTTATGACATAACCACAATACTCAATTTTATCTGTTAAAAATTTTGATTTTTGTAAATTAATCCGTAAATTATGTTTTTGTAATTGCATTAACACTTTCTCGAGTCTCTCTAAGTGAATTTCATCATTCCATTTGTCTTTGCCATATCGCTGGCGCAGATGCAATACCAAACATAAGTCTATTACACGTATAAAGACCTTTATGAGTATTTAAAGTTAATAGATGTCTATCCTCTGGATGAACCTTCAAATGAAGATATGCCTTACTGAGGTCGATCTTAGTGAATTTTTCGCCCCCAGCCATTGCCGAAAACAGTTCATCCACTGTAGGCAGAGGATGCTCATCTACTTTTAAATTTGGATTTATTGTTATTTTAAAATCTCCGCAAATACGGATCTTACCATTACTTTTAATTACAGGTACAATAGGCGTAGCCCAATCAGAGTAATCTACTTTTGTAATTATATTATCTTGTACTAAATTTTCTATTTCTGCCTCTACCCTCTGTAACAAGGCAAAAGGCACTGAACGGGCCTTTGCAAAAACAGGTTTTGCATTATTTTTTAAATTTACACGGCATTGAATCCCTTCAATCTTTCCTACCCCCTCAGAAAAAACTAAATTGTATTTAGAAATTAATTTATTAATTTTGCTAGTTAAATCGGTATTTTGAATATGATTTATCTCCCAAAAATTAAATTTTATTTGACGAATCCACTCTCTACCAAGTAGGTAATGGTAGTCTTCGGTAGAGAAATTAGTTCTAGATTAGATTTAATTAAGCCCACAATGAGTAACGCGGATGTAAATGTTAGGGACAGTAATGGTTTATTTTTTCGACAATTAAAGATAAATGATCGAGTCTCTGCTCGAGGCTATACAGACGAGAAATGGAAATTTGTCACCTGATACAATATACATATTCAAATTAAATGTAATTTGTTTGTAAACTACCTTTACATTAATAAACCCTAAAACATTTAATTCTGTACCACAGTATGAGATAAGTTTTAATTTGGTAGGTTGGATGGTCATCCCTGGAAACAAAATTTTAAATTGTATGTTACCTATTACGGTTACTGCAGCTCCACTATCCACCTCGAAATTGACACTCCTATCGCCAACACTTAAAGATGTATTAAACTTTTGTCTGTACTCTGTATCTTCTCTTGTAGATAGCTTCACAATTTCTTCTATCTGGTTGGTGTTTTGATTTTTCTTTGTACATACTGACTGTAAATGTCCTTTTATTTTACAAAAGTTGCATATAACATTTATTTTGTCACACTTTGTAGCATAGTGTGGACCACCACACCGGTAACATTTAACGTGGATATTGTTTTTTATATTTGCGTGTGGCTTTTGCACTGCATTTTTTTGTCTATCAGGGTTAAAATTCTTTTTGTACTTTGGACGATTTATCCCCACTACACCAATTGTATTTGTAGTCGTAACATTTCTATGTAATTGTGCTGTGTCCTTTGCTGATAATTCCATGCTAACTGCAATTTCATTAGCCTTATCAAGGGTTAAATCCTTGGTTTCCAGTAGCCGGTTTTGTATTTTTTCTGACCTCATCCCAAAAACCAGTTGATTTCTTAATGCTGTTTTTTGGTAATCGCCAAACTTGCAATTTATGGCCAACTTCTGTAAAGCTGTCAAAAATTCCTGTATAGTTTGTCCTTCTTGCTGTTTTCTTTGGTGAAACCGGAAATTTTCTGCAATTTCTAATGGTGCCGGACTGTAATGATTCTTTAACAATTTTACTATTTCATCGTATGATTTCTTTGTAGGCTCCTCCGGGGCCAATTTATCACACAGTAAATCAAACGTTTCAGCACCCATATAATGTAAAATGTAGGGTAACTTGTTACTTTCTGGTACTGAAAAAACTTGAAATGCTCCTTCCAGTCTTTTTACCCATCTTTCCCATTGGAACTTGGTATTATCGAAAACTTCGATTTGAAATACAATGCTTGTAGTTGTCATTGTTTCTTCGAATCCTCGTCGCCACTTGTTGGGTTCGTAGTATTTGTAGATTGTTTATATAAGCACAGAAAACTTTAATATGGTATATTGAACTGAATTATAGTTACAAAATTAGTTTAAGAAAAGAAAAAGCCTTTTACTTGTCAGCTTCGCTAATTGACATGTATGTGTCAAAGTTGCCACCCAGATTATGTTCGGTTTTTTAAACGCTGGAGATTTAAATCACAACAGCTGTAGATAAAGTATAGTATGCAACTTGTTTTATAAACTTCTCCAGACACTCGTTTTTATTAAACACTCGCTCGCAAGCTTCGCTCGTGCCTAATAAAACTCGTAACTAAAATGGCGTTTATAAAACTTGATACATAATATACTATTACCTACTTCTACATTGATGAGCTGTGACTTTATGGCGCTTTAGTCACGGACTTAAGTTGGCAATAAGTAGTGGCTTTTGCGAATTTTAGTCACGGGCTGAAATTAGCTTTATTATAAATGTTTAACAAATATAATTGGCTTTAAATTCTTCTTTGTGTTCGTCGTAGATAAAGTATATTTAGTATGCAACTCGCTTTATAAACTTATATAGACACTCGTTTTTAATAAGCTTCGCTCGTGCCTATTAAAACTGAAATGGCGTTTTGTAAAATTTCACAGAAATAAAAAGATTATGTAAAAAAAGTAATCGTTCTACGTTTGAGTAAAACACTAGTTCTTTTAATGTAATAAACAATTTTTAATTTATCGGAATCCCTTGTCCATAATTTTCACTTATCTCTTTTCAATCATTTTTACTTTTTCAATAATACAATAAAATCACATATTTTTAAACATTAACAATTTATTTTCATAAAAAAATGATAATTTTGCAGTCAAAGTAAAAAAATCAAAAAAAATGACTATAAGTTAAATTTTAACCTTAAATAACTTTTAAACCAGTGAATTTATCGAAAAATCTTAACAGAGCTTTTTTGTACAGCGTTCAATTTCCTATAAAAATATATATCACTTTTTGCTGTATATTAACTTGCTTCAGAGAAAAAAAAATAAATGTAAAACTTGCCGAAACCCCATGTTATTTAAACGGAAAATGTTTCGTCTTTGTGGCACGGTTTAACTTGCTTCAATTTCCTATAAAAATATATATCACTTTTTGCTGTATATTAACTTGCTTCAGAGAAAAAAAAATAAATGTAAAACTTGCCGAAACCCCATGTTATTTAAACGGAAAATGTTTCGTCTTTGTGGCACGGTTTAAAATGAATATTTTTTGTTATTATTTTTTTATAATTCCTTTTAGGTCATAAACTAAAAATTTAGGGGGCGCTGCGAACAAAAAAACCAAGTTGGTAAATAACGCACACCCTAATAATCAAGGTTTAAAAAAAACATACATGTTACTTTAAAAAATGGTAATTTTAACAGTATTTATTAAATTTTTAACGGTTGATAAAAACTTAGCTCACATAGGTATCCCAACCATAAACACACTATTTGCGTTATGTTATCAATGATAACATAACGCAAATCAGGCTCAAATGAAATTATTTTCTTTAAAACGGATTTTATTTCATTGCACCCAAAGTTGTGATTAGCGTAGACAAATAGGTAATAATACTAAAATCCCATCTCTAGTGATCATATAAATATATATTATTATTATAAATATATATTATTATTATTTTTTAATATTATTAATTAATATTACCTATATTAAAATAAAGTTAATATTGGCTTAATGTTGTTTTTGAGATTGAATTATATGCAACTACGTACAGAATAAAAGAATTGTTACTTTTTTCCTACTCTTTCTCTTGACTTCAAACTATTGGAAATAATATTTAACCACAGATCATTTTTATTGTTATGAACAATAAAAATGATCTATTGTCCTTTTTAACTTAAATTGGTTATACTGTATTAGAGTTGTAGGGCAGTACAGTTCCTGGCTCTACTTATTGATGTGACAAAAATAACCATTGCTGTTGTCAAAGTATGATTTTAAATAGTGATATAGTAAATAGTAATAGTAATAGCATTGACATTGTATACAATGTATCTATGATTTTATATTAAGTGAAATCCACCCAGTGGATTAGTGTTCTGCACATTAATGGTTACTGATTTATTTTCTCCCTGTACATTAACTCCCAGAAATTAAGCGAAAGGAAAGTCTATTTTAGATCATTTTTTACTAAACCTACATTAGTGCAAATTTCGGTTGCTTCATAAAAGCTGCTCAGAAACGTATCTACGTTATAGTTACGTATATAGTTACGGTAGGTTTTATTAAAAATAACGTGGGAATCTACATCATTTATTTTATTTGCTGTGAATGTAAATAAATGGGTATGAGTATAGGTTTACCCACTTTCTTTATTAGGAGGGCATTACTATGCAGCAGCATTAAAGTAGTTTCTGATCCAGATAAAGAAGTGGGTATGTACTCGTACATCGGGATTTTAGACTTCAAACGTGCCAAGATTAATATTGTGTCACGTCAGATCAGGCAGGTTTTGAACCCTCACCCCCTCTGATTTTGACGAAAATCGCTGTATAGGATTCAAATGGGCCCAAATGGACCTGACAGCAAAAATAATAAAAATTGTGGATTTTATGGGGAGTACCATTTTTGGAACTTTTCATATCAGAGGTATATTGTTTTGCTTATATCTTGGGTCCTAATTGACCTAGAGGGTTGGTCGATGTCTTATTTTAAAGAAAAAAGATTATCATTTTTAATTATTATACCTTTTTTTTAAATTTGAATAATTTTTCATTAATATATATAGTTTTGAAAAATTCAATTTTAAAAATAACAAAAACACCCCTTTTTATTTTTTATATGTAAAGAAGCAAATCTTTTTCTACACTTACCTAAATTTTGGTAGGGGTTATTTTATTTTAAAGGGAGATATGATTTTTTTCATATTCGGTGTATTTATACCCAGCGCTCTTATTGGTCGATTCGGAGGATTGTGTTTACATTTAGTCCAGCTTGGATTTGAATTGACTTTAGTTCTTATTTAGTGGGCTTGGGTTTTATTCTCGGTACTAAAATATTTTTGGGTATTTTTTTTTCTTAAGAATATTAAATTTTAAAAGAAAAAAATATTTAATTATTTTAATATAATGTGTTATAAGTTTTACATTTACGTAGATAACCTGCAACAAATAAGAAAATATGCTTTAATTAAAATATTCTCGTTGAACAAAGTAGGTTCATTTAAATATTTTTTTCTACCGGTAAGTAAAAATTTACGATTTAGTAATTGATAAAATTATTTTTTTATTTGAACTTTGAACTTAGTTTGGCAATTAATGCCAGTTTAATTTGCATTCTTAGTTTTAGTAATTCTATTCAATACCTTAATTTAAAGGTTTATCAAATTTCTTTTATTAGGATTATGATTTTTTTTTAAATTGGCGATAAGTAATATTTTTTTTATTATAAAATTAAATATTTTAAAGTTATTATGATTTAAGCTAAAATAGTTTTAAGGCTTTTGTCAAATTATAGAAAATAATCATATGAAAATATTAAATGTTGATGAACTTGTGTGAAACTTATCTAAACAAAGAACTATTTCACAGTAAAATAACAAATTTTTTTCTAGTAATTAACTATTAGAAGATAAATATTATTTTAATTTTATAACCAATAATTAAATTTTAAAATTTTTAATCTAAGAATAAAATAGAAATGATTGCCAACTAAATTTCCAAATTTGCTATGCTGTTTTAATCCCTTAAATTTGCACGAGTTCAAACAAAAAAATGAACCTACTTTTGATGCTTTTTTTACCAAGATATTGATCTCAACTCATCTTAAAATCCTGTAGTTTCAGTAAAATATTTTTAGGATTCCATAAAAAAATTGAATTTACCGAAATGAACATTTAATCATTATTTTTTTAAATACATATTTGCAAAGTTAAACGCCAACGATATAAAAGACTCGATTTTTATAAAATAGAAAACTCGACGTTATTTGCGCCTCTGGTCTTGCTTAAATACAGTAACTGGGTACATACGTTTACATAAAAGTTTAAGCCCAAACTTAATTTGTTTTTAAAGTTATTTAAAAAAACAACTTAGTCTGGTAGTACCTATTCTAAAAAGATTGATACGCGAGATACCTAAAAACAAGCCGATTTTATTACCTAGTTTTTTTTATTTTAGCAAAAATGTTTATATATTATTCTATCGCCGTTTTGTTAGTATATATGATCATTAAAAGAAAATTTTATTTATCTAAAATAAAATCAATACCTTGCAAGAAATCTTTACCTTTATTTGGACATACTCTTATTTTACTTGCAGGACCAAAAAGTAAGTAATATAATATTTTTAAAGCATAAACTATAGTAACCTATCTTTAGGTATAGGAAATCTTGTTAAGACTTTTCAACAAGAATGCAAACGAATCTGCACTGTATGGTTCGGACCTGTTCCGTGCATCGTAGTTTATAATGCTGAAGACATGCAGACAATTCTACGAAACTCTAAGGAAATTCCCAAAGGACAATCCTATAATTTTTTGAGACCTTGGCTTGGCGAAAGTATATTAATAAGTGACGGTCAAAAATTTAGACAAAATAAGAAAATATTAGTGCAGACTTTCCACAAGACCAACCTACTGGACTTTCTGCCAATTTTTAACGACAATGCTGATAATTTAATCCAAAATTTTGCTAAACACGTTGGTAAAGGAGAATTTGCAACGGACTTATATTTGGCCACCGGTGCTATGTTTAATTTGTTAGGAACAACTTTGGGAGTTCACAGGGATATTTTAACAGAAGAGGAAGCTTTTAATTACTCATTATCTGTTGAAAAGTAATATAATGACGCTAATCAAAAAGAAACTAATTTGCAAATATCAAAAATATTCTGGCCTGATTGTATTAATATTAAATCTGTATTACATATAACTTAAAATAAACTGTTGAAAGCCCTAAATGACTTTTAAGCAGTATAATATTTTGTCAATTAATTTGCTTTTAGATCACGAAAAGTTTTTGCGGTTGGTTTCTTTTTAAACTATTATTTAAATAATATTATTGGGATTCAGAAATGCAATTTAAAAGTATCTATGTTTTTAGGATGGGTGAATTTGTGTTTACAAGGAATATCAAGTTCTGGCTAAGACCCGATATATTTTTTTACTTTTCTAATTTAAAGAAAAAACAAGATGACCATCTTAACATTCTAAATAATTTAACCGAAAGAGTAATCCTTAGCAAAAAAAAGGAATTCGATGAAAGAAAATCCAGTTCGATTACAGAATTTGATGAAAATAAAAAAGTATTGTTTTTGGAAAACTTTTTTTCTGCTACGAAATTAAATGGTGAACCATTTACTTTAAAAGAAATTAAAGACGAGGTTATGACAATGATGTTTGCTGTAATAATTTACAAGTATTTAATTTGATTACGAAAATAATGTTTTCAAATTTTTAGGGACAAGATACAACTACTGTTACTTTAGGATTCGTATTAAGTCTTTTAGGAATACATCAAGACGTTCAAGTTAGTATGCATTTTATTGAACTTTTATTTAATGTATGTTATTTTGTTTATTTAACCTATTTATTATATTTAAAGTCAACTTTGCCATCTGATAAAATAAGCATTTAAATTTAAACCGAAAATTTATACATACACTGTTGAAGCCGCGTACGTCCTCCACTAAATTAAATTGTTATGTATAGGTATTTCCGACCAACTTAATTTGGTGTTACATTGCGCCCTTAATAATAAATTTGAGAAAATAATCAGACTCCAAGTCTGACCTGGTTCGCACTGATGAAAAAGACCACTGGTAATTTAGTATTTTTTGTTATGTACATTTGTAATAAAAATGTAATACACTCTGTTTGTTTTCTCTCTAAAGTTTAGAGTCTAAACACATTTAATCAAAATTTACCCTTAACAAACTTCTAATTAGTTAGTGTAGAAGATTATAACAATAATGTTATAATTCCATCCTAATAAACAGCCCCCCGCGCTATAAACAGTCAACAATACACGAGCGTTAGATTGTGCTATATGCCGTTGATGCCGTGCACCCATGCAGATTTGTCCTCGACTACATACAGTCCCAATAACGCTAAATTAAATAATTTTTATTATAGTAGTTAATAATCTGACTTTTATTTCTAAATAAGTATTTAATGCATATAAAAACTCAAATTAGTATTTAATCCATATAAAAACTCAAACAACAAAGTAACCTTCTTTACTTTTCTACTGGAAAGTGTGTAGAACATTTTAGTTATACTTATATCAGACAAATTTTAAATTTTAATTTAAAAAATGTCTGCTTTTTTTCGATGTTTATAGTTTAAATTAAAAAAATTCCTACTTGGATATGTTGGATATACCTATTGGAACCTATAAATATTTAAAAGATCTAAGTTTGGCAAATGTAAGAACATTCGTGCAAAAAAACCCTTTCCTTTGAAACTTGAAAGCAAGGAGAGTTTTTACTAAAAAATGTAACGATGTAGTCTTAAAACAGGTAATTTGCGACAGATACTATGCGCGAACGCGACATTCAGGTTAATTCACTAACCTGAGTCGTGGTTATCAGTTGTTATTTGCCAATTCGGCCAATCAGGCAGATTAAATATAACGATACCCACTTATTCTATGGCTAACGTTAAAGCCTCATGTTAGTAAATTGGCCAGATTATGCGGTAAAATGGTAAAACATTCTAACCGCGCCAATTCCAAAATTGAAAATTCAAGTATTAAAAGCTTTATGTATTATTTTTCTGTGGTGTTATGCCTCCCTTAACATTACTTCACGCCACCCAAGGATGGCGCGCCCCCTAGCTTGAAAACACTTTGAAAAAAACTTTTCTATTTAACTTTGGCCCATGTTACCTATAAATAGTTAAGCATCTAAGATACCAAGAGCTCCAAATACGGCTACTATCCCATTTGCACAGTGATATTTCTAAATACCCACTTTTTTCATCCGCTGTAAATCTATATTTAAATTCCATGATAATAAATTATAGTTTTGAATTATTTTTTTCACAGAGAAACTATTAAATTTACTTAAAAAATTATTTACGCTTTCTTAAAAATCTTTATAATTTTATTTATTAAAATTCCCACTTTGTAGAATAAAGTATATAAGGAGTTGGAAGAAATTCTAGGATATTCAGATAGAGATATAAATTACGAAGATACACAAAAAATGGTGTATCTAGAACAAGTTATAAAAGAAACTTGGCGTTTATACCCACCAATCAACAGCATTATGCGGGTTCCTATTAAGGACATAAATTTAGGTATTTAAAAACTTTTCAAGGCTATAAAAATATAAAAAAACACTTTATTTTTGTAGGACAATATGTTTTTCCAAAGGGCACTACTTTGTTGTGTTCAATATTTTTATTGCACAGAAATGAAGAATATTATCATGATTCCCATAGATTTAATCCTGAAAGATTTAATTCTGACAATGATAAAAATAGACCACCATACAGTTTTTTGCCCTTTTCAGAAGGTGTACGAAAATGCATAGGTATATTATTTATATATAAATATAATCTCAGTTAGAATTATTTATTATATGTATTTTAGGTTCAAAATATGCCATGCTCGTGGTCAAAGTATTTTTGGCAAAAATTCTTAGTCAATACAGAGTTATTTGTAATCAAAAGCAAAGAGATTTTAAGTTGTCCCTGCAACTTACAGTCAGAAGAAAGGAGGGATTTTTAATTAGTTTGGAACCAAGAAAATAATGCAATTATTTTTTTTATTTATTTAAAATTTATTGTTTTTTTATTTACTTACCATAAAAGGTTTATTGTAGAGATAAATAAATCGCCAAGGTATATTAAAATAAATGAAATAAAAGTTGTTTAGTTCTTATATATTTATTGTTAAAATCCTACCATTAGTTTGTATGTCTAAATATTTTTAAAACTTCGAATGTAATAAATACCATTAAGTATTTTTAAGTATTCTAGATTTTTATTTATTATATTATAAAGTATTTATAAAGTAGCTGCAAATTAAACAAAATTATATTTTATATTAATATTAATTATAATTAAAATAATAATAATAATAATAATAATATTTACTGAAAAGTAAAGAATTACAAAACCAACAAGTAATTACTTGTTGTTAACATTTAATAAAAATCCACACTTATTTTTTTCAATTTACAATCTATATCCAGTTCTTTGGGGGAATTGAGCGACTTCGCCTATAATTTTGGATAGAATTTAAAAACCCATTCGCATTTAAATTACCCTTAAAGAAGAAAGGGTCAATGTTTCTGTCATCTAGTATTTCACACCAACTGGATTTACCACCCCTTAAAACGGACCTACTTATACTAAATTATATTAATTTTTTTTAGTAGAAACGATTTTGTAGCTAAATTAAAAATAAACATTTCTTCATGGCATTTTCATACATTATTATTCTAAAAGTCAATTGACCTAAGTTATCCATGAAAAATCATCGACAGTTTCACTTACTGTCCGTTCAGGCTAAGTTGAGCGGTCTAAGGAATATCACCCCGTCCATCATCATCTCTATGTTCATTGTTTGTTCGTACAGAGCGGCTATCGAAATACATGTATTTAATTGTGCCTAAAAATTGTTCAGGCACAATTAAATACATGTATTTCGATAGTACGAACAAACGGCAGGCCGCGGCACTGATAATTCATCTTCTTGTTACCGAAATCTCGCGATTCCATGTTTAATTTAATTAACTATAATGGCTAGTTTAGACCTTAATATTTCCAGGGAAAGTATTGGGTGATGCCTAAAAAAAAAATTAAAAAAAGGCTTTTAAACCAACATTTTTGCATGCATTGGAACTGACGATTAGAGTTTTGCTATTGGCTACAAGCCTTGTAGTACAAGGGGAATATCTAAAGAATCGTATTTTTTTTAATGCAATTTTATTTATCGATAAAGCCCATTTACTATGGCGCGCCGTTTGATTTTTTATTCAGGAATTATTTATTTCTCCATTGAATTTCACATATCTCTAAATCAATTTCAGATATGTAAAATTAATTTCAGATATCTCTAAATCAATTTCAGATATGTGAAATTAATTTCAGATATGTAAAATTAATTTCAGATATCTCTAAATCAATTTCAGAAATCCCAAATTAAAGTTGCAAATGTGATATTTATTTATAAATAAAAGATACCAAGTCAAAAATTTAATTCATTGCATTAAAAATATCATAGAACAAATTAAAAAATGCGGTAAATTTTAATGTTAAAGTGATATTTTTAATTCCTTGAATAAAAAATATCATGTTATAAATTTAGAATTCGAATTAGCAACATCATAGGAGAAATTTATAATTTAAATTAAACATATTATGGTAAAAATTCTTAAACAAATTAAAAAAATATGAGAGAAATGTATAATTCGAATTAAAAATATCATAGGAGATATATTTAATTCGAATTAAAAATATCATAGGAGAAATGTATTATTCAAATTAAAAATATTATAGGAGAAATTTTGAAATGAATAAAAAATATCATAGCAGATATTTTTAATTCGAATTAAAAATATCATAGGAGAAATTTATAATTCAAATTAAAAATATCAAATGAGATATTTTTAATTCGAATTAAAAATATCATAGGAGATATTTGTAATTCTATTTAAAAATATCATGGGAGAAATTTTGAAATGAATTAAAATTACCATAGGAGAAATTAATAATTCGAATTAAAAATATCATAGGAGAAATGTATAATTCGAATTAAAAATATCATAGAAGATAATAATTATTTGATTACTTAATAAAATAAAGCATATTTTTAAGTAATGTCATATTTTCATTCTTACTGAACTATATGCTATATGCGGTGTTAGTGCATTCGAACTACAGGTGCCGCTAACTGGCAACTGTTGAGCTTCAAATATGAACAAACTCCTGCTATAAATTTATTAATCGGTACATAGATACCTATTAACCTATCTTATTATTATAATTATTATCACACATTAGCATTATTAGTGCATTTATTTTAATTATAAATATTTGTGTAACCGGTAGTTCAAATATCTTTACCAGTTTGTAAATACGCCGGAAAAAAATTATTCATCTGTCAAAAATTAAATGTAGTTAATTTTCACAAGATGGTTAATATATTTGATTTACCGGTTAAAAAAATATGTATAATTAATAATAATGCTAATAACAAGAAACAGGTATTAATAAATTTATTACAGGACTGCGCTCATTGATATCGGAAGCTTAAAGCCTGATTTAAATATTACCTTCCTTCCTTCCTTCCTTCCGTAAAAGATGAACAATACAAAAACCGTAGTGATGTTTATAAATTAGGGTAGGTACGGAATCTATAAATAGTACTACAGTTTTCGTATTGTTCATATTTTACGGGAGAAAGGAAGGAAGCATGGTACTATGGAAGGAAGGCAATATTTAAATCTGCCTTAAAGCCCCTTCCTCCCGTAAAAGACGAACAATACGAAACCCTGTTAATAGATTAGGGTACGGAAATCTATAAACAGCACTACGGTTATCTTTTACGGAAGAAAGGAAAAATGGCAATCTATAAATGAGGCTTAACAGTTGCAAGTAGTTCTGATGAACTAAACCGCATATAGTGCGTTTTTTACAACCCAGTTCAATGAGAATTAAAAATTTGACATTGAATTAAAAATATGTTTTATTTGTCATTTTATTAAAAATATCTTCTATGATATTTTTAATTCGAAATATTAATTTCTCCTATGATATTTTTAATTCGAATTAAAAATATCTGCTATGATATTTTTTATTCATTTAAAAATTTCTCCTATGATATTTTTAATTTGAATAATACATTTCTCCTATGATATTTTTAAATCGAATTAAATATATCTTCCATGATATTTTTAATTCATTCAAAAATTTCTGCCATGATATTTAATTAGAATTATAAATTTCTCCTATGATATTTTTAATTCATTTAAAAATTTCTGCCATGATATTTCTAATTCGAATTATAAATTTCTCTTATGGAATTGTTAATTCAATTATAATTTTGTCCTATGATATTTGTTATTCAACGAATTAAAAATATCACTTTAACATTTCGATTTATTAATTTGTCCTATGATATTTTTAATGCAATAAATTAAAGTTTTCATTTGATATATTTAAATATTTTAGAGATATGTGAAATTCAATGGAGAAATAAATAATTCCTGAATAATCAAACGGCGCGCCATAATTTACTACAAATGGAGTGATTTTGGGGAATTTTGACTTGAATTGCCGTCACTGGTCAGAATCCGGTATTCGTCATAAATGCAAAGATTCACAAAAAATTAAAGTTTGGTGGGTAATACTAAATGACAAAATAATTGGCCCTTTCTTCTTTGAGGGTAATTTGAATAATAATAATAAAAATAGTATATTTATGTTTCCGACAACTGGCATTGAAATTAAAAATCTACAGGTATAGATGAAATGATAATAAAAATAATTAAGCATAATATATATTATAGCGACTGAAATATCAGAACCCCTGTCTTACATTATAAATTGCACCTTAAGTACAGGTATTTTTCCTGATAAGTTAAAACATGCTGAGATAAAAGCTATTTATAAAAAAGGTAAGGAAAATGAAATTATTAAATATAGACCAATAGCGTTATTAAATAATTTTAGCAATGTTTTTGAAAAAGTGATATATCACAGAGTTATTCAATTTATCGATAAACACAATATTATTACTGCTCTATGTTCCGTAATTAGTTCACAAAATTTAAATACAGAAACATTTTTATTATGTCTAGATATATCTAAAGCATTTGATTTAGTGGACCATCAAATCCTTTTAAGTAAGCTGGAAAACTACGGAATAAGGGGAATATCCTTAAAAAAATTTCAAACTTATCTTGAAAATAGATATCAATGTGTGTGTGATAAAGATTTAAACGGGGAAAAAATACGGTCTAATAACCTTATATAAAAAGAGGAGTACCACAGGGTTCTATACTGGGCCCTCTCTTGTACATTATTTATACTGTGGGGACTGGATTTCCCACTCTTGTCTGTCATAGTACAATTTAAGTGATTTTTATAATAATTTTTATTAATTGATTGCTATGTATTTCGAATTATTATTATTCAGTACTTATGTTTAAAGTTTTCAAGTAGTAGGTTTTAAATAGTATATTGCATAGATCGTGTGTTTGTTACCTGGAGCCTTGTAAAACATTGGAGTTTCCTAACATCGGTAAACATCATTTACTATTGCTTACTTAACTCTTCGGTTTCTTTACCCAAAGTAATTTATTTAACTTTATTTTTATTACCTTTTTATAGATGCGCTTTAATTTTTCCAAATATTTCCTACCTATCCCCTACCACGATTAGGGGTGGGTGACCAAAGGGCTCTTGGAAAAGGTCTTGGTCTTGGACTCCCCGTTTTGAGTACATTGGCTCCGGGTGACAACACATTTAAATTATAATTCTGTTTGTGTATATATGTGTATTGTATTGTATATTGTGTATATATGTAGTGTAATAAAGTTAAGTTTGTAAATACCTCGCCATCGATCAATTTGCACACAACTACCCGCACCAAAGCAGTCGCTAAAGTGGTGACCCCGACGTGATTCGAACATGCAAGTATTTGTGCAAGAAGAAATCAGTGCTACCAACATGACGAAGACCAAAGCTTCCGGCCTACGGCAATCATTCGCAAACGTAGCGAGCTTCATAGCACTCCCCTACGCTGCGGTGCACAACACGGTCCACACTGATGTCCAGCACTAAGATCTGCCTCAATATGACAGTACTGGAAGCCAATATCCACAGCCTCGGTCCACACTGGTTCCAGCACTAAGGTCAACGACAGTTGACAATGTTGGATAATACCAACCAACCATCCAAATGCTGGATGACG